ATATAGGTAAAATGAGAATAAAAAAGAAATACGTATATACTAATGCTGAAAGGAAAATATACTCAACTTTGACATATATATATATATATATATATATATATATATATATATATATATATAATGTGAAAAGTGTATATAAATATAAATAGATATATATATGTATAATTATTTATATATTATATATGGTACTTATTAGAAAGCGCTCAATATCAGAGATAGAGCTAACATATTTGGTTGGATAGATGTGAGTTTGTGACCCTGGGTTTCACGCTTTAGCGATCTTTAGACAAACATATATATATATATATATAATGTATATTTGAGCAGCAATATTTCTTATTTTGTTAGATATGACAGGCAAGGGAAATTTTATTAATTTCTTATTTAGTTACATTTTAGTTACAATTTTGCGACGAATTTCAGCTACGAATAAATTGTCGTACTAATATTCAAAACAACATCATTTTATACAGTAAAATATGAATAAAAATTGACAACATCTAAACAAAACCCTAGAAATGGCTAAAGGAGTGGCCGAAAGTTCTTGGGACAATGGCGAATATAAATAAGTTCTGCACTCCCTTACTACCACCAAATAGAAAGAATGCTAGAAAAAATAAAAATTTTATTTAATTTCCCTTGTCTCTGTCATTTTTTAATATATATATATATATATATATATATATATATATATATATATATATATATTAAGAAATGGACAAGGTCCGACAATTTATTTATTAAAGACATTTTATGTTTAACGTTGTTTTTTATAGATACAAGTATTTAAGTGGCCTGTGAATGATAAAATTAAATAACATTTCAGGCCTGAATGTTATTTTCTCGGACATTCATAAACAGAGTATTTACTTAAATACTTGTATCTATAAAAACAACGTTAAACATAAAATGTCTTTAATAAAATATATATAGATAGATAGATAACTAGACTCGTTTCGAAAAACCCTCGAATTTTTGATTTGCTAATAATCAAATCAATCTCGAGGGAAAAAAAGGTTTTAAATAAAGAAAGAGTTACAAACAGGAACTTCTGTCGACAAAAAATCGCACAGATGCAGGTCTGAACCCAAAAGAAAAAAAACCCTGATAGGAGTAAAACTAACTAACAAAAGCGCTCAATACAACCGTAGAGCAGACCTATATACACCTAGTAGGCCAGACAAACCCATTTCAGGTCCCACCTAAACGGATCCGTTTAGGTGGGGCCTGGGTGGTTTTGTCTGGCTCACTAGGTGTATCTATATATATATATGTATGTGTGTGTGTGTGTGTGTGTGTGTGTATGTGTGTGTGTGTGTGAATAAAGACAAAAGGCAAACTTATCTTAGCCGACACGTTTCATCCTGTGAGAGACTTTATCAAGGATGAAGTAAAGTTTTCCTTTTGCCTTTATCCATATTGGTCTTTTACAGATAGACTCCGTTTGAAAGGTTACATTTTTTTGTCATTTCTTAAAAAGCAAGGCGGCAATGCCGCTAAAATGCAGTCGGTTACAGGCAGTGAAAGAAGAAAGTGAGATTGGAGACGATTGAGGAAACAACGAAAAAGGACCAGCTTTCAAGAAGACAGATAGTGATTGACGTTGCATTTAAATTTTTGAAGCTTGTAATTATCAGGAAAAGAAGAAATCGGAAGGTAGTTCCACAGTTGGGAAGTACGAGAGAAAAAAAAATATTAGAGTAAAAATCTGTTAAATGACGATTTTATTTTGCTGCTTCAACAGTAAAATGGTTACACCTAGTCACTAATCTAGTAGCCCGCTTAAACATGGGCAACAGGAAAACCAGCCTGTCCTATAGAACAGGCAGAGGGAAGCCACGTCATGTCTGTGATAAAGTAAAATAAAACGAGATGCCTGCTCAGAACCGATTTTATTGCAGACCCTTGTCTGGGTTTTGTCCAGAATACGGACGAATGGTAGATTTATAAATCTGCAAGATTGATTCTGACAAGAAAAACTTTTTCACAAGACGTAGGGAAAAAACTTTTTGCAGCACACGTAGCAATTGACTCAATATAATCACTGATAGCAGATACGGAAAAAGAATTACAAAACATGCAACAGACGGAAGAGAAGAAGAGCGAGAAGAATGGACTAAGCATAAACTACAAGAAGACATAATGTCTGGTCATCAGCAAAAAGATGGGCCCGAAATGCGGGGACACTAAAATCAAGCAGCTGGGGAAATTTAAATATCTGGGAAGTGTTTTGACAGAGAACGGTAAGTGCGACGCTGAGATCCAAAGATGTACTGGGATGGCCAAAGACGCATTCTAAAAGCTAGCAAGAGTATTACGAGACAGGAGAATTTCGTTGTTGACAAAGAAAAGAGTTCTGAACTGCTACGTGATATCTGTCCTCTTTTACGTCAGAGAATGTCTCCTCAAAGATGAAGAAAATACTTGACGCAAAGTATGTATGGTTCTACAGATGGTCACTAAGAATACCATGGACCGAACATTTGATCAAAGGTGAGGTTTTGTAGAGGATGCAAACAAGGAGGAAGCTTATGCATAAAATAAGGAAAAGGCAGCTGAAATTTCTGGGACACGTAATGAGAAAGGAGGGCTTGCAGAATCTGATACTCTCGGGGCGGATAATGGGAAAGCGAGACTATCGAAAGCAACGCGTGACGTACCTGGCGGACTTAAGCAAATGGATGACAGAACAGCGTCTGGGAGAAGTACCAAAAGACAAAACATATTGAGAACCACAAATAATAGGGAGCCGTGGAGAGCCATGATCGCCTACGTCCTGAAGGTACACAGCACATAAACGAAGAAGACTTCATGTCAATGAAAAACGTGATATCAAGAAGGTTTTGGAGAATCTCCCTCTCCTGGATTTTAACATCAGGTATTCTGATAGTAAGAAGAAATGTTCTCTGTGCTGTGAAAGCAGTGTAGAACCCGATATTTTGGGCATTTACGATATTTTATCGCAGCTGCAATGTCTAATAATTTCATCAGTTGGCAGATATATATTTTTATGACTCCTCTCATTATACGAGATACAAATCCTTTACATCAATTCCTCACCATGCCCTTATCAAGCTTGCATAGTACTCGTTCAGGATCTTTTATTAATCGTCACCGCAAGCAAGGCGATAAAGCCACTATCACGCAAGGAGTTAATAAGTGTGAAATGGATCTGAGAAAAAAATTATTAAGAAGAGGGGGCAATAAGAGTACAAAAATTAAAGAGGCAGAAGGTGGCGTTTGATACTGCATTTAAATTTATGAAGATCAAAGTTCACAGAAACGCAAAATATATTTCCATAAGCGAGAGAAAAATAGTTAGCATAGAATTCACAACTTCAACAGTAAAATGATGAAGCCTATATGCCAATCTAGTACTGAGCTTCAATTCATAAAATCGAGATACAGAAGAAGAAAGCTAATCAGAATAATTACTATGAAAATAGTTATAGAAAAGGCAGAGAGAAGCCACGATAGAATGAAGGGAAAATGATTGAAACGGAACGCTGATGATGAACCATTTTTATCAATTAGAACGGAGTTTTACCATTTGCCAACTCTTAACGTGACCATTAATTTAAGTTTTCGAAATTCAGATTTTTTTTTTTTTACAATGATGTTCACTCTATACAAGGCGCAAGAACCACTCGAAGTAGAGGAATACAAAGTAAGAGGCCCAGTTTATGCAGACCAGTGGGGAAGATAATGGTTGACCCTAGACTTGAACAGATTAAAATTGAAGTGATTCGGGGAGCATCATCTTGGAAGTCAGTTCTACAGATCAGAGATTCGTGGTAAGAAGCTTTTCGATTGGAGCTTACATCCCACCAATGGATTACGGGGGGAATGCGGGTGATTCGCTACAATGGGCGTAGTATGGTGTGTCTTAACCATGAACTGGTGGAACTAAGGAATATAGTTTGTCTGAACACTTTCCATGCAAATAGCGATAGAGCAGTGAGATGGTTGCAAGATTTTGTCTGTGTGAATTGGGTTTGCTATTTACATTGAGTTATTTGATAAGGTGAAATTGACCGCTGATCAAAAAAAAAATGACCTACAGTTTTTTGATAAGTGGGGCTTGTTAATTTTAACGCATCCAAAATGAAACTACTCTCTATTAATCAATCTAAAGACTCCTTCTTGCCTTACAACAGTATGGCTAATGCTAACCTCCATGATAATGACTCGTTGCGCCATCTCGGTCTAAAGTTCTCGGCGGATATGAAGTGGAAAGACTATATTGAATACATCGCTAGGTCTGCCAAGAAATTCGGTTCATTGTGTTGTACTAGACAATTTCGTCTCCAGCATCTATCTTGCATATTTATCAGTCTACCGTTCGTTCATGCTTTTAATATTTCTGACACATATGGCCAAGTTCTCCGAATGTATATGTAGAGATTCTGATAAAATCCAAAGAAGAATCAGCAATATTATTTGTCCTGACCTGACTTGACCACTGCAACGTAGCTTTCCTGGTGTAGCCTCTTTTGTAAATACTCCCATGGTAATCCTTCGAATGAAATCTTCGCTATGGTACCCACACTTTATGAATTTAAGCGCAGTACTCAATTCACGGCAAGGTCTCGCCTATTCACAGGTGAATTGGCCAGATGTAAGTATAAGTTCTACATTATGAGTTGTTGTTTTTTTTTTTAATTTTCTGCATTTCTCGCTTGAGTAAATCTCTTCCGGCTTCTTGATTCACAGTGAAATTTAATCTTCAAAATCGCTATACCCTGTTTTGATTAATTTCCTATATCTCTCCCTCCCTAACGTCTCTCTTCCTTTTTTTTTTCTTGTTCTTCGAAACTCAGTAGCCACTTGCGTCTTAGTGGCTTTATTGTCTGACGGTTTCCGGCATCTGCGCAGAATGAGACTGTTTTCTTCTGAACTACGCAGAGAGATTTTCACATTGTTTAGCAAAGAAACTTTTATATAAGAATAAAACATGAACAATAATGGGAAGGTTGGCATTAATGAGTTAGCACTTCACGATGTCGTTTATTGAAGCGTTGAGGCGTGTGCACAGAACCAATATTTTCTCTCCTTCAAAGTCAAATCCCCCATTAAACGTTTTATTCGGGCCACAACGTATATAAAACAGGATTTTCAAAAGCTGATATTTACGTATGAAAGCAGGTCGACACTGGCCTGCCCTAATAGTTGACGAAAGAGACGACGCCTGATAAAAAACCTAACACTATTTGGTTGAGATGTAAACATGGAGGCGATGATGTTATGTTTCCGGATGAAATCATAAGTAATAAAGAGATTATCTCCTGAAAGGTGAACAATGACGTTAAAATTACGGCTTCTGTCTGCAATTAATTCTTAAAAACCAAGCTATAGTCATAGATTTATAATAATACACAGGGATTCAATCGAAAATTGATTTTCATGTTCAGCTGAAGTTAATTTTATTTACACTATTAATATTCGGACTATTGTCCTCATCTTTCTTGTCTTTATCATTGTTTCAGCCGTTGCGCCCCCGACGTATATCGATCTGGATAATCAACAGGGAATTCGGAACTGAACCCTTTATTTAATCTATGGGAATAGACTCTTCTCGTTTCACTGCTAATATCTAGGGAAATCTCGTTCTCATAGTTAGTACTGCTTGGTTATTACTCGCCCGTTTCCACTGAGCTAAGTACACACTACTCGGCCCAGGGATTGAACTTACAACAGCTTTGTCAACAAATTTACGAACTAGCGCTTTAATCCATTTGGCCATTTATTTACATTTGTCCCTCGTCAAATTAATGTCGGAACAATCGAAGGTATTGTGTTTCAGGTCTTTCTTCGAACGTTCGATGTTCTTCTGGAGAGAGTGAGAGAAATTCTCCTTCACTCCTCATAGAACGTGTGTTTATATAATTTCCTGTTATGTGGTTGGATGTATAAGTATCTTAAGTTCAGCTGGGTTCATTTCCTTGTTTATGCTGGTGCACTCAGTGACACTCTTCGATATCCGGTTCTGTATTGGGTGTCTTATTTATATTTTAATACTGTTCAGTTATTTTTCGCCCGTTTCCACTGAGTGCAAGGTAATTAGTGTTTAAAAGCGGCAGGTTTATTTATGGCCACCATGTTCCCTTTATCTAAATCCCATCGAAAAAAATTGAATCATAGACGAGAGGCGTGTTTATAAAGGCGTCTTTCAATTTGCAAAGACAAATTAACTTTTGCTAGAAATATTGCCCGTTTCTAAAAATCAAATTCCTCGGTTGAATGATGGATGTTTTATTTCAGTTGAAAGAGGGCAATTTATTTCAGTAAATAAGATTAAGTTGGAATAAAAGTTTATCGGTTCTTTTTAATAGGTGGCGTTTGAATACTTGATTTTCTTTCACACATAACAGAAATTTATGACTGTTATAAAATTTGCATAACGATGTTTATTATAAGTGCAAGGAAAACTGTGGAAGGGGCGTCTGGGCGACGAACGGTTTAATCACACGAGAATAGGGATTGAAACTACAGTAGTTCAGAGCAACAAGCGTACGACTGAAAAAGCGCTACGCTTTTACAACACACTTTTTGCTCCACTGTTCTATAAGAAGACGTTCGACCCATAGCCAATGGATGCGTCCATGTTTCGATAATAGGCGTAGAGAAGATTAGTCAGTTTTTCTACACAGCAATGAAATATAATCATGCTCTGAATAGTTCCAATACAATGCCGCTTTCTATATGATCTGTGTATGGATTATAAATTTGAAATGTTTTAGCGTTAGAAGAGAAAATGGAGTAAAATGAGAAATCTTTTCGTCAACTGATGCTCTTTGATATCGAGCGGCCAAGATTCTGTGGCCAAAACGGGTTTTCAAGTCGGAGGAAATCTACTATGAATGAAAGTGAAGAGGGTTGGCCTTCGCAAGGTCTGTTTGCCCATGACACTCTACGCATGAATGAATACCTCAGATATGTGGGGGAAACTGGGCAGTTGTTCTACTAAGAAAAGACCACACCCGGTCATGATGATCATTATCATGATGACGTATTATTATTTCCGGAATTTCAAAAACGCTCTACAATCAGCAAAACAAAAGAGATGTTCCCTTTATAGGGATGGTGCATAGCTGAGAGAAAATGTTCAAAACGAGGAATGTTTTGATCAGGAAGATCGAGAACGTTTCGTCATTTCTGCCGTCAATCATGATGCCAAAATCAAAACGTTAATGAAACATGATTCAGGTTACACGGAACATCGCAGAAATAATCCATATATATCATATTAGCGTTGTAAGACATTTGAAACTAGTTTAATACGTGAAACTCTATTCAACGCTATTATGTTCAGATTATGTTCAAAATTTAAAGGATCAATTTTTTCATCGTCGATTCATTGCTCAAATATTTTAAAAAAAAGCCCCATATTTTTAACAAACGATCACAGGTTATGAAGAATGGATTGCTTACAACAATGTGGAACGAAATAATCCTGGTGAAAACAATGAACAATCGTTAACCACCACAAGTTCGAGTCTATATCAGATGATGATGCTGTGTATTACGAGCTGTGCATTACGACCTCCTTCCGCAAAGACAGACACTGAATTTAGACAAGTACTATTCCGAACAGGACCAATTTAAAGTTTATGGATTTGTCCAGTCGTAAAAGTGTCATCTTCTATAAGAACAATGCCAGACATTACATCACTTTGCAAACCCAGCAGAAAGTGGTATGGCTTAGTTAGTGTGACCTGTTACATCAGCTGTACTCTTCTAATCATTTATCTTCGGACTGCCACTTATTTCATTCATACAAAACAATTTTAATAGGGAAAAGTACAATTTTATGGAATCGGTTAAAAACCACTCAAACCATTTCATTAGTTAGAAAAATGTCAAGGATTGAATTATAAAGTTGTCTCAAAGACGGTACAAGATAAAATGGCACATATCTGATTAATAATTCAATGTACAAATATCTAATTATTAAGTTTGAAATTTGCTTGAAACGTTACGAATTTTTTTTTCTTAAACCAATAGTTTTCTGCTTTGTTGTTGGTTCAATATTGTCATTAGCTGATGTCATTTTCTATGAAAAAAATAATTTTGGGATTGTCACTGGCTTTCATTTTTTTTATCCCTTTTATACATTTCCATTTATTTGTTTGTTTGTTTTTATATTTACATAAAAAAGAAAATGGATTTCAATTTTTTTCTATATATTCATGCAGAAACTGAATTCAATTTCATGATAAGGTTTAGGGACATTGCACGTAAACCAAAGTCATATTTGATCCAAAGTCGTTACTTTTTGACAATGAGTTTAGAATTGGTTTAAGATTTCTTATTTGCATGAGACACAATCTATGTTTCTTAATGTTTGTTTCGCTGTCTTTTTCTCTCGACTGCTTTTTCATATATGTAGATATATTAATAATGACAGAGAACGGAGAAAAGATATGAAAGTTACGTAAATTTAATACACTTTGTCACTTTGGCATAACATCTTCCAAAAAGCGCTCAATAGATAATTACAAATATAATCATTTTTTAGTTTGAATTTCTGGGATGAGGAGTAATCATTATCTACACTATTTACATTTAGCCTGTTGTCCTCATCTTTGTTGTTGTTATTACAACGTTTAAGCAGTTGTTCTCACCTGCCGTCATAAAGTGTACATCGATCGGGGTAACCTACAGGGAATTCTGAACTGAACTATGTAACAATGGTTTTGTGGCTTAAAACGTTAGTTCGTGAATTTGGTGACATAGCAATTGTTAGTTCAATCCCTGAGACGAGCAGTGGGTACTTGGATTCAATGGAAATGGATGAGCAATGACTTAACAGTACTAAAAATAAAAAGTAGACGATGTGAGGGTTTCGACGTGAAACTCTTAAGTCATTTAACTTTATCATTTGAACTTTTCTTGATTTATTGAATATATTTATAGATCTGAATACACACACACACACACACACACATATATATATATATATATATATATATATATATATATATATATATTGTTAGACATTTTCATGACGGTCGTCTTCCAGTAGAGAATCCAGAGGTTGGCAATGAATATTTCGGAGACAGTAGGAAAGCGTAGTGCAGGTTCGCAGTGGATATCGCAGCAAAGTAGCAGAGCGTAGTTCTTCCGTCTGTCCTGTTCGCCGGACAAGTTGCTTCTGGTCATTCCAGTAGCAAAACAAAGATGGCCGCCTTTATACACAACGGATACAGTGGTGTGCGGCTTCTGATTGGTCAACTTTCTATTGGTCGACTATAAAGGGAAATAAGTCATTTTGACTCGCTCACTAGTTACATACGGTATATACCCAAAAAACCGTAACATATATATATATATATATATATATATATATATATATATATATATATATATATATACGCACACACGGTGTGTATGTGCGCTCATAAAAGCTTCCGGCGAAAAATCAGCTTCCAAATTATCATTTATGGAACCAAGCCATAATGATTCTCTTATTTAAATTATAGAACACACTGGAAATTTTACACACATTTTTAAATCATTTCATTCCAAGCAAGTTGTGAATGCCTCTAGTACTCATGGAGGTGCAGGGAGTGAAAATGAAAGAGAAAACTGAGAATGAGGAGAATTGGTGAACGGACAAAAGATGAACGGGGGTTCAAGAAGATAGATGATGGCAATTGATGTTGCATTTAATGTTTTGAAAATTGTAGTTATCAGGGAAGCAAGTAAATGGATGGGAGTTCCATAGAAGGGAAGAGCAAGAAAAGAAACTGCTGAAGTAGAAATAGCAGTTGCATTTAGCTATTTCAACAGCAAACTGGTGAGACCTAAATGCCAATCTAGTAGCACGCTTAAATTCGTGTTGTCAGGGCACCAGAGGAAAATCTCGTCAGAACAGATGCCATGGAAATATTTGTAGAAAAGACAAGCCTATGAGAGAAAAAAACTGCTTGAACAGACTCGCTTCCAAAATTTTAACCCAATTGACAAGTAATTTATCTCCAAGTTGTTAATAACAGGTGACTCCTCCTCACTACCATATTGCATTTATTGCAAATGCATTTATGGGTAGAGCGTCATTTACTGATTTATACGGCATCTGAAAGAGGGAATTGTCAAGGGAACAATTGTCAAGAGGTTCTCCACTTGTTGCCTTGTATCTAACCTGGCATTACGTGTCGTAAGTTTTCAGTTCTTCGTCCCTTTCATCACCAAGCAGAGACTGAATTTTCTCTAATAATAATGAACAGATGTTCTCTCAATAAAGCTTTTTGCCTTGAACGTTCATTTGCCGGCATGTTCATCACAGACCTTCTTTAAAGATTCTGGAAAAATGCCCCAGAAAATCTCCGTCTCCTTCTGCCATGCTTTAACTTTACAAGAGTCAGATAAGACCAAAATATGGGATTCTACAGCCATATATGGACAGGACATACTTAGTGTTCACTTTCCCGTCTCGATAGAGTCCAAAAGCGTCTCGGCGTCCTTATGGATGGCAAATTACTTTCACCCAACAATCCTTTTCACACTGCTTTATCGTTATTTATATGGAAAGTGTTCAACTGAACTACATTCCTTAGTCCCACTAGTTCTGACCTTCATGCCATGTCCATCGTAGCGAACCACTCTCTTTCCCTTCGTATTCTATTGGTGAGACATTATTAGCATCCGAGCAGTTTCTTCCCGTGAACCGCTACACTTTGGAACTGACTCCCAAAGGGATGTTTTCCCGATCACTAAAATGTTAACTTGTTCACGTTTAGAGTCAACCATTACCTTCCATATATATCCTGTCCTGGGTATGACGATAAACTACACCCGCGTCCTGAGTAAGACGATAAACTACATCCAACTGCAAGGCCTCTGATTAGGAGGTTTTGAGGAGCGTGGAACCACCTCTTAATTGCTGGTGTTCCCAGGTCCATCCTGACCCGGGCTGGTAGCACCTGTTAGGGGGTTCCCAGCTATGGGTAATTAGTTAACCCCCAAATTGGGATCAAAACACTATGAAAATGTAAAAATAGGTTTTAATACCAGAATAATTTGTAAAATTTATTACCAGCAATACATTTTTGAAGAAAAATTATTACCAACAATACATTATTAACAGCAATACAATTTTGAAAAAATATTACCCGCAATACATTTTTTGAAAAAAAAAATTACCAGCAATAAAAGATTTGTCGGCAGTAAATAACCCCTTGAGATTGATATATCGTAAAACAGAACAAAAGAAACAATCCATATATATCAGCATAAACTATGCCTCTTAAACTGTAACTCTTTACCTCGAGTTGCTCCTGGGCTTTGCACATGAGGAACATCACTTTCAAAAATAATCCTCTCTGTCATAGCTGGTCTAGTGCTGCCCAGTCCTCACTTCCCAGCCTTGACAAAGTTCGAAAGCGTTTACGCCACTTTGTAGACGATAAATTATTTTAAACACTGCAGTCCCTTTCCGCAGACGAAACGTCACAAGCCTATCGCTAATATATTGCTAATTCCTTTGCAAATATTCCGGGGCGCTACATTCATTATTACCCCGCGTTCAGGCTTTTGAAGCTCGGGGCTATTAATTACGTATTCCATTGGTTAGAAGAAAAATCTACTCACTTTCTTTCGCTACTTTGCGAAACAGACTCCCGAGAGGTTGTTTCCTCGATCACTCTCATATTAATCTCTTAAGACTAGGGTTAACTATTATCCATCCTATATATTGTCATAATCTTATGTCGAGTAATTGTTGATGATTAAATGAAACTGGCACCATGCATGTACGATTTGTCTATAAATATAGGGAGGGCTTTGTTTTGCAATCATTTCTATTAAGATTATTGAGTATATTTTATTGAATGAATGGGTGGTGATTGGGATTAACTAGGACTAAGATAATTACTGAGGGACAGCCATTCCCGACTTCCTCTTTGGCCTTGTGCCAAAATTTTGTAATTTTACAAAATAAATTTCTGTTTTTATCAAGATTGAAACCAACAACTTCTGACATCAATCCTCTACCTTGAGTGGCTCTTGTGTAAATTACCGGGTGAATTATTTAGTAAAAAGAAGGAAAGCTTATTTTCTTTCTTTATATCTGTGGAAACCACTAGATTAAGTTACTTGTTTATTTATTAGCATTGTGAAAACTTTCACAGCGATAAATAAAGGTTTTCAACTGTGCAGCAGTTTCTATTTAAAAAATATCTGGGAACTTTTACACACACTTAATATCTTAACGTAAATGAATTTTTAACCCGTTCTTGTAAAGTCAGTTTTCTACCATCTCTCTCTCTCTCTCTCTCTCTCTCTCTCTCTCTCTAAGCGATACAGAATATGCAGAAGCAACACACGTTTGGTATGATCGTAATCTTGTTTCGTCAGTGCTATCCTTGCAAGTGACACGCGCACCGATCAATAGTACCAATTGTGAGGTGTATATCCGCGTACATATGTCGATAAGTAAAGGGACACGGGCGTGTGACTGTTTTCACACGCAAACAAGTGAGCCCTGTCGATCGTGTACAAACAAAAGTAACTGGCCTTTTTTAAGAACCACAAAGGATTTACTAATAAAGCATCCTGATATGCTAATTTGTGTAAACGCTCTGACACATCTGCAGAGAGAAAGTTTTTCTTCTCTCTCTGTTGCATTTTCTCTTTCTTTCACTTTAAGACTTTTCTACGCTCTTTCTTTAGATTGTTTTCCCGTCATTTTCAATTCAACTAATTTTTCATCTTTCTTTTTTCTTTCTTTCTTTCTTTCTTTCTTTCTTTCTTTCTTTCTTTCTTTTGTTAGTGCATCCATTTTTTCCTGCATTTTTTTTTGTTATTTTTGTTTTCTTTAGTTCGTTCAGTTTTCTTCGCCTTTCTTTTCAATTAGCCTTTTTTCTTTTTTTTTCATTTTTTTGTGGAGCTTTCCTTTTTCGATTTCTTTTCTTTATTGTTTTTGATTTAGTTTTTTCTTTTGCTCGTTTATTTCTTTCCTTTTATTTAAATCTTTCTTTTCTTTTCTTATTTTCTTTCTTTCTCTTGTTTTTTACCCTTTATATTACATTTATTTTCGTTTCTTATTATTTTAACATTCATTCTTTTTTTTTTCTTTCAAGCTTTTTTTTCTTTCACTTTATATCTCTTTAATTCTTCTTACTTTGTTATTTTTTCTTCTTTTTCTCTGGAGTTTGTTCTTTCCGTCTTTTTCTTTTTTTTAATCGTTTTTTTCCATCCCTCTGTGTCTTTTCTTAGACACTTTTTACTTATTTTCTTTTCCTCGTTCTTTTATTCTGTACTTCATTCATTTCTACATTTTTTTTCTTTTTAGTCGTTCTTTTTATTCTTTAATAATCTATTCGCGTTTACTTCTTCTGTTTTTCTCTTGATAATTTCTTTCTTTATTTCATTTTTTCCTCTTGAAATTTTCTTCTTCCTTGAACAATCCGTTTCATTATTAACAAAATATTGATTCTGTTATTTACTCATTTATTCATTCATTCTTTCTTTCTTTTTTGTTTCTTTAATCATTTTCTTTTTTATTCCTTCTCTTCTGACTGTTATTCTTTTCAGCCGTTTTATTCAAACCAAAAAACTCTGAATCCCTTCCTTTGCTAAAATACACTATTTAACACTTATATATTATTTTATAGCTTATATTTCTTTAATGATTGTTCTTGTCTATCCGCAACGAAAGAGTAAAAAAGAAAGATAAAAAAAGCTTAAAATGAAACAAGCGAAGCTAATCCTCCCCTTTCTTTTCCATTTTTCTCATCGCCTTTTTTCCTTCTTTCCCCTTTATCTATATATTTATATATCTTAATGCACAAGTCCCTATATATATATATATATATATATATATATATATAGATAGATAGATAGATAGATAGATAGATAGATATTGCTATATAAATTTAAACATTATTTTGTTGGATATATATTGGAGTTCATCAACGAGGTCACGAAACTTCATTAAAGAGTGAAACAGACTGTCGTCATTTGGTTATAACCCAGTGACTTCTTTAATATTGAGAAACGCCCTGTCCCTGATTTTGCGGATATTTATCACATAATTATAGCCTAAAAACTTGTTTTTAATTATATATAAATAAATATATATATATATCAAAATGCATATATATATATATATATATATATATATATATATATACATATATTATTATTATTATTAGCTTTTCTGACAGTTCTTACTAAGTATGTCATTTTTAACAGCCATATCCATATTTCATGTCCATCTTTCATATATATATATATATATATATATATATATATATATATATGTATGTATGTATGTATGTATGTATGAATAAAAAGAAAAGAACAGTAAGATATATAATCCGGTGTTCTTATAGATATTTTTACAAAATAGTGCTCAATGTAAATATATATATATATATATATATATATATATATATATATATATATATATATATATATATATATATATATATATATATATATATATATATATATATACCATTCATGTTCACATGTAAATAAATTGAAATATATAAAAATTTCTTTGATCATACAAATTTTTTCAGTATATATATATATATATATATATATATATATATATATATATATATATATATATATATATATAGGGAAATCTTAGACAAAATTGGAAAAGGTTTGTGTACCGCGTTTCATAATTTATGATTTCATCGAACTAGAATGATGGCTACCTATTTACGACTACCTATACTTAGAGGGATTTTTTAAATATATGTTTGGAGTATATAATCTAGCCGATTACATTTTGTGCTTTTTTTATTAAATACCCCACACTGAGATACTAGAAGATCTGACTAGGAAAGTGAAAGGTTGTAAAAACCTGAATGTAAATTTACTATGCTTGATGTAGAGATTAAAACTGATTTAGATTCAGATTCATTTTTACTTTTCTTGGCAGATCTTTATGTTGATTATGAAGTTAAGCATTCAGTTACTACGCACTCGAAAGACTGGAGCTTTATCCAATTAACCATATTTAGCCTTCTACCGTGCTAAACAAAATTAAGTCGGTATTGAGACTTGTACATTAACGATCTCTCTAAGGCATGAACCTAATCTCATGTAATTAACGAGGTAAGCTTCCATTTTTGTCAGCCTGAATGTGACTAATACATATTATATTCCATGCTGAAAGATAGCAGAACAATAAAATAAAGATACAAAAAAACAAAAACAAATGCAGAGTTTTGCGAATGGCGAAAGGAATGCCGCCCATTCCGGTTTATGCAGGAAACCCTGGCAACAGAAACAATCATCGAAGCAGATAAGTAATTTTTTTGCATTTTTCTTCCTTGCCTTCGTTTTTATCCCTGTTTTTTGCCATTGTTTTTTATGATGTATTACAGACTGCATAGATGCTTGCAGCAAGATGTGTCTGCAGAAGTTGGCCTTTTCGCCCTGGAAATTCAACGATTTGTCACCATCCTCAAGTGAGAAGGAATTAGAATTTGGTGGAAGCAAAATGGAACTGAATGAAAAAAATTTAAAGAAAATGTCGAATATCCTCCTTAAAACTGAAATGAAACAGAAGAAAAAAAAAAGAAAGTATCTTATAAAGAAAATAAATTGATATTAAATAAATATATTGTTGGGGGATCAAGTGACAGCAGGTTTTCTTAAAACTTCGACATTCGATAAAAAAGTTGTATCAAAAGAAGCAAAATGCAACATTAAATTGTCTAAATAATAATAAATACGTTTGCAACAATTCAAAGGAATTCACTAATAATGGAAATAATAAAGTCATCTTCCACAATTTTTTTCTGTCCTTGAATTTAAGCAAAGTTTTGTTTCTCTTTCACTGTCGGTCGTTTATCGTCTAGAATGACTAGATTTTTATCGGACAAAACACACACGCACACATTCACACACACATTCACACACACACACATATATATATATATATATATATTATATATATATACACACATATGAGATAGCAGTAGATATTTTTATTTATCAAGAATAGTATTGAAGAAATTGTAAGGCAAAATGTAAAAATATTTTTTATATATATATATATATATATATATATATATATATATATATATGATGGACTCTGCCGTCGATTTCACGTATGAGGTTCCGACAACTTTTTAATGACCTTTATGTTTGAATCTAGAGTGACATTTCAGACCTGCTAATGACTTGCAAAGAAAACCACAGATTGGGCAAGCGTGTAAGCAAAGAGGGTGCACTTCTCTGGCACCTTCTGAGGCTTTTTTCCTTTCTCTTGCTTCACAGAGCTTGACAACGCTTGCCGCCGAAAGATTCCTGATTCCAGTGTAAGCTACACTTTTCCAAGCTTTGCGATCCAAGGCAGTATTCTCCAAATCAGTGTGTGCAATATTTGCAGCTGCAAGGTTACTTTTCAGCTTATCTTTAAACCTGAGCAAGGGTCGGCCAACATTCCGTTGACCACCTTCAAGCTGGATGTACATGAGAATCTTTGGAATTCTACCATCTTGCATCCGTACAACATGACCGGCCCATCGTAACAGGGCCCTCATGAGGAAGCTCTCAATTCCGTCAATGTTACACATCGTTAGAAGGTCGGCACTGGATTTTTTGTCCTGCAGTGTTAGTCCACATAGATATATATATATATATATATATATATATATATATATATATATAAATATATATATACATACATATATATACATATATATATATATATATATATATATATATATATATATATATATATATATATATATATATATATATAAAAAAAAGAACAACAAGATATATAATCCGGTGTTCTTATAGATATTTTATTTTTACAAAATAGTGCCCAATGTAAATTTACAGATCATTAATATTATAAATTAATTGATTTAAAATATGGTTCTTTCGCTACACAGTACTAACCATGTTTCAAAAATGGAAGCTAAAAGCCCCGAATTTAATTTTGTGATTAAATTAAAGACATTAGTTCCATTTCATCCTCAAACGAATTTTGGAGTAAGTTTTTAAAATTACTGGGTTTTAAATACACAGCTAAAACAAAATTCATGTTTCCAAGGTTACAGATAAATCTATTTTTCTAGACAGGGGTGGCTGGGTTTTCAATATGTCTATAATTTAATGTATCAGTTATTGCTACGTTTGGGTCGTGGGAAGGGATGTATTTTTCAATGAAATCTAACTTCTGTTAAAGCCTGTCGTCTAGATTTTTTTTTTAAATTATATTGTTAACGGCTAAAATTCTTACGGCATTTTTTTTTCCGTATATTTAAAGTATATTACGATTTTTTTTAAATTTATATTCAAATATTACTAAAGTAAAATTTTCATTTCTCCGATTTAGTAGACTTTATTTATTTATTTAATTACAATTTAAAAGAAATTTAGGTTAGAATTCATTTTAATTAATTAGTTTTAATTACAACTTTAAAATATTTTCTTTATTAGTTTTTATAGACTATATTTCATTTAATAGAGATAAAATGTATCCGAGTTACTTACCGTCGTAAAATTATTTTTCTATATCAAGTATATTTATATTACGATATTTAAAAATTTTATATTTAAATATTTTTTAAGTAAATTTTTTTTTCTTTACGGCGAAAAAGCTACTTCATTTCTCTGATTTAGTAAACTTTATTTATTATTTATTTACAATTTAAAAGAAGTTTAGGTTAGAATTCATTTTAATTAACTACAATTTTAATTACAACATTAAAATATTTTCATTATTAGTTTTTATAGACTATATTTCCTTTAATAGAAGTAAAATATGTCAGAGTTACTAACATTCAGTAAAATTATTTTTCAATATCAAGTATATTTATATTTCGGTTTTTAAAAATTTATATTTAAATATTTTTTAAGTAAATTTTTTTTCTGGCAAAAATAGCTACTTTATTTCTCTGATTTAGCTTCCATTTTTGAAACATGATTAGAACTGTGTAGCGAAAAGAACCATAAATCAATTAATTTACAATATATATATATATATATATATATATATATATATATATATATATATATATATATATATATTTGTATGTATTTGGGGGTGTATGTGTTTGTGTATGTGTGTAATTGTGTGTGGATGGATGGATGTAAGTATATATATATATATATATATATATATATATATATAT